ACAGTGTGAGACTGTAAAGCATTCGGACATGTTGTCGTAATGTCACGGCTCATTTTCACCTCTGACCCTAATGATGTCTCCCTCTATGTATACACATGTTTAGCGATGCTGACGACTGGTTCTGCGAGTGTCCCCCACTCCACACTGGCGTGCTTTGCCAGTTCAGTGCCTGCGAGCGCAACCCCTGCGGTCATGGAGCCACGTGTGTCCCGAAGTCACCACTGGAGTTTGTGTGTCTCTGTCCCTATGGAAGACAAGGACTGCTGTGCGATGAACGTATGTATCACAAAATACAGCTTCACACCAAATATTAGGACCCGAAAATATAACACTACTCCTTCCAGAAAAGTATTTTCACACCACAAACAAAAATATTATTAATTTTAATCAAGGGCTTTTAATGGGTTATCATGTGTAGTCTGAGCAGGGTGGATTCAAGAATTCAAGAACAATTTTCGTGACTTTGTGATAACTGAATGGAAATGCTCCACAACATTCACAGTACAGTGGAAGTTCACAGTACAGTTATAGCTATTACATTTACACTTTGTAAGACACGTTAGCTAGGAGCTGTCTTGTTAGCATTAGCTGCTTCAGTACCAGGAACTGTTGCAGCTTATATTGGCTCTGGTGTCTGTAGTCGCAGAAACGTGTTTCACATTGAAGCGGTGTCGCAGGCTTGAAATGCTGTAGTGATAAGAAAACTGCATAATTTGCACAATGCAGCCCAACACGTTATGGTTGGTCTTATCTGATTCTCCTCTTTGTGACGGTCCAGATATTTTCAGCGTGGACTGTACTTGCCGTTATTGTTTTTTCTATTAATAACCTTTTTCTAAATTAAGTATCTTTCTTTTCCTGAGCCCATATGTCTTTTAAATAAATGTTAAATTTCCTCACCGATGTAACAACTATCATAACATGTGTTTGTATTTATCAGCTTAATGAACTGATCTGGGGACAGTTAATGAACGACAGCCTTGAGCATTTGGTGGAAGGATGTCGGCTAGTAAATAAGCAGGCTAATGAAAATAAAACCTGCTGACAGGGTGGGAAAAGAATACCTCTGGCAAAAGTTTTTACAGTGATGGAAAACATCGAGGGTGCTTTTCAAGATTATTGTTTTTAATTTATATTTTCCTTACATACACAAGTGATTTTGTATAAAAGTGTGTTTTTTACTGGAGTATATCTGCTGTGTTGTAGCTCTGTTGTCACATTATTAAGGAACAGCATGTCATGCACTCGCTTTCAGTTCCATTTGCTTTAGGGTTGTTCTTATTTAAACATCCCTCCACCTCTATAAGATCATCAAGGCTCATTTAATGCTAACTGGCTAATCTCAGTCTAATCCACTGGTTTCCTAAGGTGGGGACTGGGCTGCCCAAGAGCAATATAGAGCTACTGTGGGGGTGCCACACCAACCTAAATTAGTTTAGAATTTAATATATTAATTCTTGGATTAGAATTTTATATACAACCTTGAATGTGTCATAAACAGTCCTATCTACAAAGGGGCCACTGCAGAAATGTTGTGATAAGACCAGTCCTGGTAATGTTGACGTACCGTCCGTCAGAATGTGACAGGTGTAAAAGGTAAACTCTCCTGCTACATATCATTGTTCCGATCGATGTTAATACCTGTTATTAAAGCTGCTACCATGAGTGCTAATTAGCAGGGGGCTCATTAGCAGTCCTGACATGTTTATGCATTTTAACTGACCAGATAATTGACAGCAGATGGCAGTTACTTCATGATGTTCTGAATGGTTTAGTTTTGAAGCAGCTGGGGAAGAAAAGAAATCTGCAAAGGCAGAAGTTTGGCCTGCCTCGGCCGACGTGGGGGAGCAGCAGGGGGCGTGGCATCTCAAGTCTCCCACCCTCCCCTCCTCTTCCCCCACTGGGAGTTGGGGGTTTTGGGGTTTAACTTTTGGGATAGGTAATCACATGACTTATGTTCAAATCTCACCTCGACTAACTGTTTTGCTTGAACAAACTTCCAGGGTGATTTTAGGGATCACTGTTGCCCAGGATTCGGTCGATGGGTTAATTGCAGAGGTACATTTTCATGCTGTGTGTATGTCTTCAAATACAGTATGTACAATGACGCTAAAAGCGATTCGTCATCTTAATAACTTTCTATTGTCTGTTGTCAGGCTACTGCTATGGAATTATGATGATTATTTTTCTTTAAATTGATTTTTTTTCTTCTTGGAAACCGTCTGCTTCTCAACACGTTTGTTCAGCCTGCTAACAAGCAAGGAAAAGGGAGCGGAGGAAGGGGGGAGAAGGAGGGGGAGTGGCATGGATGCCTGAAGAGTTGTGTTCATGTAATATTAATCTATATTTAAGACAACATCAGTCAGATTTATTAATGCACTACCTGTGTACACAGGCCGCCTATATCTCATGTAAAAGATTCATGTTAAAAAACCAACAGAAAAACAATGCGCCACATGTAAAGTACACAGTCGTACTGGCAGAGTACAACCAACCTGGTTATTATTTTCATTTCAAAGGTTGTCAGGTCCGCGTGCCAAAGACGGAGCTGCGTAAATGTCTCACAAACAATGGTTTGGTGTTTGCATAACTCGGTTCCGTGCAGTGCAGTCGTTAGTGTATTAGAGATTTGGTGATACATTTTATACAGTCCATTAGAAAGAATCCTAATGTGCTCGCCTTGACGCCGCGCAGCAACATCCTGCATGAGTTGATCGTTTTAGTATTGATTTATTGAAATTTCTGTTAACCTTGCATTGTTCCCACTCTGAAAAGAATATAATAGAGTGTATGCAGCGTGTCTAATTCAGGGGATGTGTTGTTTCCCCTGCCTCTCTGTATCTGCTCAGATGTTTATCATCTATAGTCAGTTTTTTTTTTGGTCAAAAACAAAACCAATTGACTGAATGTGCTACCAGGCTTTGTTCTGCTGCCTTTCTAATCTGTACAGCAGGGGTCTTCAACAGGGGGTCTGTGACCCAGAGGGAGTCCATTCAAGTACTGCAGATAAAAAAAGTTTAGAGTCGATTTTCCAAAAATATATATAATATTGATAAGTTGGACAATAAAATACTTGTAAATGTTGTATATATTTGTATATATTGAGTCTTTGATGCAAATAAGTTAGTTTATACATGGCACTAATCCAAATGTGTATAAAAATTCAAATTCCTAGTATAAAACACAAATATCCTCAGGGTATAAACTAAGAAACCTGTTTTGTAGAGTACATTTTTGTGTATTTTAATATTCACTCCTGGTCTTTTAATATGATCCTTATCATTTTGTTGAGGTGAGTTTCCATAACATATATGTACAATATATATTGTCCATATTCTGTAGGCAAATTAACACATAATTAAGACATTGGTGTCTGCTGATTT